CCATCTGTGATCTGTTTCCCTCTGGAAAGTCTTGAAACTGCTCTGCCATTCAAGATTGCAGAGCCTCAGAGATGTTAAATAACTCCAGTTTTTGTGGGAGTAGCTGCACAGGGAAAAGGAGACTCTGGAACTGGAAAAGGGGAAAACATGGGAATTCAGACTGTGGGAATCTGTGCATTCTTTCAAGCAGCAGTGAGGCTAAAGGGGGCAGCAGGAGCTGGATTGCTCTGATCTCGTTGTCTCCCCCAAATTAGCCACCAAACTTCTGCTTGTACCACTCAGTCCCTCCAAATCCAGATTTCCTTTCTCTATCCCAGGATTAGGGTAAGGAAGAGGAGGCTTCAGTAGGATACTTGGACAAGTCTGTGCCCAGGCTACCCTTAATGTAAGTTCCTAGTTATGCAAGAGGAAATAAAACACATTAATGCCATTTATAGAGTGTTGAACTGGGAAAGGTTGAGAGCTGTGCTCAGGGTAGAAACATCAACTACAAAAATGATAAACATGAGCAGGAATTAATGGAAGCTCAGGCAGGAAGACTTTGAGTCCTTCTCTGGGGAGATTTAATTTCCTGAACCCACCTTTTGAAGTGAAGAAATCTTAAAATAAATGTGCCAGGAGACAGTAAAGCAGAAGTGAAGCTGCCATCAAATACCACCATGTGAAGAAGGCTCTGGAAAGGCTGGTACAGTTCTGTGGGTCTGTAAAGGAAATAACAGGGATGTGAGGGATGTAGCGAAGGAATTTGGGAGAGTCCTCACTCCTTAAATCTCCTGGTTTCTCATTAATCCTGCAGAATTTGGGTTCTGGGCAGAACAGCAGCACATTGTCCCCTGCCAGAGCTGTCCAGAGGAGATGATGTTGGTGCAGTTGATGTGACACACGTGCAGCTCTCTGTATTTAAACATTTGCGGGGAAGAGGCAGAGGTTTGGCCGAGTGCTCCTCGTTCCCGGAGCTGCCAGGAGGTGGCTCTCTGCATTTGCAGTCCCTGTTTGCTGCTTTGTTTATGGAATTACGCCGGACACGTTTTCCCTGGAAAATGTTTTCCCTGCGTTTACCCTGAGGAAGTTTACGTCAGAAGAAGAAGGAAGCCCTGGGCTCAGTAAATAATCTGCTAACAGGCGAGGCAAGGATCAGTTCATTTTTGTCCAAATGTTTTCTGGCTCTGATCCAAAGGGATTTTTCCTGTGCAGGACCTAATCTTACAAGATTATTTCTATCAGGCTCAAGGAGTTATATCTGTGTTGGTAGGATGCACTTATCAAATTTGATTCTATCCCAGTAAAAGTCATACTTAATTATGAAAAAATCATTTTAGTCACGTTTTAAAGGATGCAGGTGGTTCATGGACAGGTACCCTGTGAATTGATTAAAATGCTTCTTCATTCTCCCCCTTTGAGTGTGAGAGTGGAAGAGGAAATCCTGTATCCAGGCCATGGACTCGTTTTTGGAGGCAGTGATGTTTCCCAAATGCTGATGTGTTCTTCTGCTGGAATCCAGTGTGGAAAAAGCCAGGTTCCATCTTTGCTTCCTAAAACACGGTGAAGAATTACAGTGTGTTAAAGAAGAGTAAGTATTCAGTATCCTCACAATGCTGGTAAAGTTCCAGGTTTTAAATTGGTTACTAGGAATATGTAGGCTCTATTCAAGCACTAATTTAAATTAACTTGGTCTATCTGAAGGTGTTAATTGCATGTACACAGTCCCCCCACTCTTGATTTATCTTCACCCTCACTCTGAGATACCAGACACCCTTGAGGACAGCACATGGGCAAAAAACCTGTGCAAAATAAACAGTGTAACACTCCAAGTACATCATGAATCACATACAATTTCCCCCTCTTTTAAAGAAAATGGTTCCATCTTCTGCTGCAGGAAAACTTGCCACACAACAGTTGTTTCTGAATCAGAGGGATCTGATAGTTCCTAAATAATTATTTTTCAGACTGCAAATCCATGTAACAGATTTCTCTGGTGGTGATTCTCCTCTTTGCAAAGCTTGAGTTTGTTTCTTCAGACCAAGCATTTCCTTCAGTTAATTCACTTCTAGGATGACAAAACAAGAGGCAGAAGGATTGTGACTGTGCCTGTAAGAGGCAACACTCACCTTAGTACCCTAAATAATACCCTGACACAACCACATCAAACCCCCCTCGTGTTGTTACCATCAATCTTTGTATTTGGCATTATTTGATTTATAATGGTCAATGACTGCAATTTTTCCCCCCTCTTATTTCTTCACTTTTTCCTTGACTTCTCTTGGTTAATACTGCATGCACTGCAAAATTTAGGGTCAACCTATAGAAGCTCTTGGGTTTTTTTGCAAGGTCACCTGCACATTTCTACCAATGTTAGTGTTTTCTTACTATTTGAACTCACAGACTTTGTAGACTTTTGCTGGTCACTATCTGAAAAGTAATGAGAAATCTGTATTTTTCTGAAATGCACTGGGTGTTGACTATTAATTGAGGGATTTTGCTCATATTTAACCCAGCTCTATGGAGAAAACTTATTTCTCTGCAAAGCCATGCCCTCCTGTATTTGATAGAGGTCCATTTTATATCCAGATGGGATGGCTGGAGCTCCTCTGGCCCAGCTCTCAACTACAGGAAAAGTCAAGGAAAAGCAAAGGTGACATCAAAACTCAACAAGCAGTGCCCAGAACCTAACCAAAGTCTTTTTTCCGTGGTAATGACTGTCAGGAGGGGAAAATGAAACCTAAAATCCCAAAGGTCTCCAGTGGACCTTGGATACTCCGTGCTGTGGGTCAGGGCTGCTGGGGCTGGGCTGCTCTTTGCACCCTCTGGCAGCAGGAAGTGTTTCCCTTTCAGAACTGCAGGATTCCCAGGCTTGGTCTCAGAGTTTGGGTTAAGCAAAGATATTTTGCCTCCCTGCATTCCAGACTGGTGCCATTTTGGGAAGAAAAAAAAGGGGGAAGAGGAAACATTGCTGGTGGTCCCTGATGCTTTGGTCTGTTCTTGTGAGCACACACACACTCAGATATGAGAATTTGGTCATAGAATTCCAGACTGGTTTGGGCTGGAAGGGCTCTGAAAGCTCATCAAGTCCCTCTTTGCACTATCTCAGGGTGCTGCAAGCCCTGTCCAACCTGCCTTTGTACACTTCCAGGGATAGGGCAGCCACAATTTCTATGGATATAAGGGAGATAAATCTCTTATCCCATCCACACTGTGGGAAGGCCTTCTCTGGTGTGCAATTCCACACACAGGCAGCAACTCCAGAGCAAAAGTCTTTTGTCTTGGCAGACATTTGTGGGCTATTTCCTCCCCTCCCCCTTGGAGAAGAACATCCCTTTCTCAGTGCCTACAATAGGTCTTTGCTTCCCAGGATCTCCATCTGTGTGCATGTGTGTGACACATGACAGCACCTTTGTGTCGTGGGGCACAGCCTCACCCACGGGGGATCCACTTGATTAAATCCAGGATTAAATCCACTGGGATCACTCACACACGGAGATATTTGCAGATTTTGAGGCACTGCCTGTGTGAACACACACAAGCAGCAGAGTAAAGGAATTACACACAGCTGGAAATCAGCTCCTGTGAGGGGAAGGATTGGTGTCCTCGATGTGGGAAATGTTCACACAATGCAAACAGATGGAGTGGGGGGAATTAACAGCCCTGCTTTTGGGCACTTCCTGGGTGATTATTAATAGTTCCCTGGTTTGGATTAATGCACAGCATATGTCGGGTGACAGGGACTTGGAGTCATCTGTTACATCGTGTCCTGGGCTCAGTCTTTTTTTGAAGTCACAAGAAAGTAATTTTTTTTTTCAATGATTCCCCACCTTCTACCTCCTTTTCCCATTAGAATAGCCCCAAACCATGATGTGGTTGGAGACACTGGTAGTAGTGGCATGTTTGGATGGGAAGGTGGATGGTGCAATCTTCAAACCATCTTCTGAATCATCGTTAGGGACAATTTTTAGTCTTTTTGAAGGAAAAGATGGGATGATGTGGGGCAGGATTGACTGGGAGCCCAGTTCTGTCTGGCCAAGGGACCTGGCCATGCCCTGCAGACCCATGACACCCAGCAAGGTCTTAAGCTGCGCCAGGGGGGATTTAGGCTGGACATGAGGAAGAATTTCTTCATGGGAAGGGTGATTAGACATTGGCAGGGGCTGCCCAGGGAGGTTTGGAGCCCCACTCCTGGAGGTGTCCAAGGAAGGGCTGGAGGTGGCACTCAGTGTTCTGGGTGAGGATCAGGCACAAGTGGACTCAATGCTCCTGGAGGGCTTTTCCAACCTCAGTGATCCGGGGCTTCTGGTGCTCCCAAGAGCTGGCCTGGCAGAAGTTTTGGACTGGAGCGATGCTGAGGAGCCTTTACCCCAAAGCACTGGGCTAAAGCACATCAGTGCCGGGACAACCCCAGCCGCGCTGTTGTCACACGGGAATAAAGCGGCACCGCAAGGGGACGGGACGGGCTCGGGGTGGGAACCTGAGACCGGTGGGGCCACAACCCTGGGGATGGGGACGGGGACAGGGGCAGGGACGAGGACAGCGATGGGGACAGGGATGAGGACAGGGATGGGGACAGGGATGGGATGGGATGGGGACAGGGACGAGGACAGGGATGGGGACAGGGACGAGGACAGGGATGGGGACAGGGATGAGGACATGGGCTGGAATGGAGACACGGGCAGGGATGGGGACATGGGCAGGGATGGGGACGGGGCAGGGATGGGGACGGGGATGGAGACACGGGCAGAGATGGGGACACAGGCAGAGACAGACAGGGATGGGAATAGGGACAGGGGAATGGGGACGGGGACAGGGGCATGGATGGGGACAGGGATAGGGATGGGGACAGGACCGGGCCGGCCGCGGTCACTCCCCGCCGTATATCTGCGAGGAGCGGCCCCTTGTCGGAAAGGGGGAGGAGGCGGCGGGCGCGGCGAGCGCCGGGGGTGGGAGCTGCGCCGCTCAAGTGCGCGGCTCGGCGGAGCATTACGGCGCCGAGCGCTGCCCGGGCCGGCAGCGCGGAGCCCGCAGCGCGGCCATGGCCGAGCGCCGCGCCTTCGCCCAGAAGATCAGCAGGTACCGACCGGGGGCGGCCGGGCCGGGCCGGCGGCGGCAGCGGCACCGCGCCCGGGGGCGAGCGGGCCCGGCCGAGGGGGCTCCGCCGCTGCCGCGCCCCGGGGGGAGAGCGGGCCCGGCGCGGCCCGCGGGGCTCCCGCGCCCTGCCGGCCTCGGGGGGGAACCGGGCAGGGTCCGCCCGGCGCGGCCGCGGGGCTGCGGCCACCCCCGGCCGATACAAAGGGCCCGGAGCGGGCGCCGAGCGCGGGGCCGCTCCCCCGGGGGAGCTGCCGCGGGGAGCGGGGGAGGGAGGGAGAAAGAGGAGGAAAAGAGCCGTGGAATTCCGCTGCCGCGAACAAAGGCCGGCTCGGTGCAGCCCCTCTCGCCGCACAATGGGCGGCTCGGCGCTTTCCTGCCCGAGCCGGCCCTGCCCCGGCCGCCTCCCGGCGCTGCCCCGGGCCCGCACCTGGGAGGGGAGCGCCGACCTCCCGGCGGCTGGAAATGGAGAGAGAGAGAGCTCCTTTCCTTCCAGCGCCTTCCTTTTGTGTGTTCGCCGTGGCACCCATCCTTGGAGGCGCGGAGCGGCGTGGGGCTCGCGGTGCTGAGCATCCTTGGGTTTCTCAAAGTTTGGTTATTTTTTAGAGAGGAGTATTTATAGAAATTTACCAGCCGGCAGCAGGTTTCTGCCGATTTACGTTCCGAGTTAGGCATGGGTTCCAGGTGGGAGCAGTTTTTCTGTTTGCAGGTCTGACCAGGTAGCCTTTGGTGACCATGGTACCTCTCGTGCCTGTGACCAGCAGTGGAGTGACAGCGAGAGCCATCAGTTGTGCCAGAGCTGTTCAGGAGGCTGTGGACAGTAGCAAAAGAAGTCTCATTTTCATGCCATTCACTGAAAAGCTGTAGGTACAAATAGTTGCAGTTAGAAAAGCTGTGATGGAGAAGGGTCATGGACAAAGAAAGAGGAGGTCAAAGGAAAAGGCTGGGTAGGAGGTGGAGGAGTGACATCAGTCCCACCCCTCTCATGATCTGGAAGCAGGTGAAAACACTGCCCTTCTCTTCAGGTTCTCTGCACATTTTGATGTGCCCCGGCCAGGGGTTAATGTGACAGATCAAGGAATGGGGAGAGATGGATTTGCTGCCAGACCGTTTTTCCTGATTGTAGTCATAGAAATGGTCACATGAGAGACGAGCGCTGGAAGTCAGAGTGTCAGAGCTGCACAGCCCTGGCAGGAAGTTAAATAAGATGGCCCTGGGGTGGCCACCGTGGTGCTCAGCGTTCCTGCCTCGTTCAGTGGCTTGTAGCACAGCTGTGCCACCTCTGTTCTCCTCTTGGGCTGATCTGATCCACTCCGTGTGTTTCTCAGTGTGTTTGTGGGCAGATGTGGTCTTTAAACGGGTTGGGTTCATTTGTGCTTGTAGAAGGACCCGGGTGCATTGTGGTGAGGTCAGGGCTGTTGCATCTCCAGCTTACTTTTACACTTGTAAGATTGTTGTGTTTTCTGTGGGGTTTCCCATGTTGTAACGTCATATTCTGAGAAATCTCAAATTCCTGGTCCGTGGCCCGCACATCCGTCGCACGTGAAGGCAAAAACTTCATGGCAGAAGTTCAAAAACAAGGGCACAATGTTGCATCTGGGGATGCCCAGGCTGGGCTGCTGTCCTTCCTTCTGCTGGCACACACCGTGCTGCTGGGAATGTTGTGTTTTAGGGGATGAGGGGTTGGAGCAAGCAGTGCACGGAAGTCGCAGAGCTGTGCTGGTGGCTGCTGGAAGCCCTCCCCAGTTCCATTGTTTCCAGAAGAATAGATCCCTCACATTTTCACACTCTGCCCTCCGGTTTGGCTGACTCATCGAGGTAGACATAGCATTTGTCTTATTCACAGGAAGTAGCCATGCTGCTCTTGCTTTGCCTGTGTGCTTCAAATGGATGTCATTCAGATCCAAGACTAATTCCTTTTTCCAGCTGCAAGTTTCTAAGCTTGTTACAGTAGAGGTAGAAAAACAAACATGGGATGGGCTAAGCTGTTTCTTGGAAAGCACAAGGAAGTGTCCCACAGCTCTGATTTACCTGCTGTGCTTTCTTCAGCCACCGTGGTGTCCCTCAAGGGCACCTGCAGAATGCCAGTGCCATGACCTGCCTGGTCATTGCATCCAAATCTTTAAATGTCGGGCAGAGGCTATCAGTAATTGCCCCAGCAGTTTCAAAATATCTTTTTAAGACTATGTTACAAGGTGTCTTCATGATTGTCCTACTGAGTATTTGCAGGATAGGTTTAAACTAGAATTTGGCCATCACGGGTACTTACTAATTCTTCTTGATTCCATCAGAAGAAACTCCCGAGTTAAATTTATTGTAGTGGCTTAATAATCCCTAAGATCTTGCCTGAAATTACTAATTTTTAATTGGGAATATATTGATAGGAAACTTTTTATTAAACTGTAGTGCATCACATCCTTCAGCAGCATCCTGATGCTTCTGTAGCAGCATGGAGGCTGTTGCTTCCACCTCCAGTGTGGGAGTAGAGGAACTTCAGTGCCACCTGTGTCTAATGCACATTCCCGGTTGTGTTATCTCAATACATTTTTTGGATATGTCAAAGAAATAGGATGTGGAAACCACTCCACCAAAAGGGTCAGTTCTGAGTTCCTGGATGTCCCAGTAACTGGAGCATGTTGTATCCCAGCACTCCTGTGTTTCCTGGGGCAGAGGAAAAGGTGTGAAGGCTTTTTAGAGTTAAAAAAAAGAGAAAGAAAACCCTCTTTAAACGTCACACAGCAAAACCATGACAGTGATAAACTCAGGTAGCCTTCCATGGGAGCCCCTGACTCTTGGACCTTCCTAGGCTGGGTTATCTGGGGGATTCAGAGCTGCTCCTTTGGTCACACCATCACCATGGAAATCTTTGTTTGGAAGGAGTTTAGATCTTCCTTTCCTGCTCCCACAGTGGGAGAGGACCCCTGTGACTTGGAACAGCACACCTGCCCTGCCCTCTGTTTCACAGTGCACGTCAGCCTCACACAAACCCCACAGTGGGATTTTTGCTAGTGTTCTGTATTCTTTTGCTGAGAATTTTCAGTTTTCCTGTGCCCAGCTGTCAGTGGGGTCCAGAGAAAACTGTTTTTACCTTGTGGATCCAGCCCCTCCCAGGTGCTTCCATGTGAACAGGAGCCCCATGAGGTGCTGCTGTCTGGGGCTGGGGGGTCTTCAGCTGCTGATCCTGCCCTCAGACACTCAGTGACTTGGAAATTCCCCATCATCCAGGGCTCTTACACTATATGGGATTCCTGGAGTAATCACAGCTTGTCTTTATGGATTTGAATTGAGGGGAAGACACTTGTGTTCACTACATTCAGAGCATCTTATTTCTGCTGCAGCTCCCTTTACATTGATGGGGTGCTGTAAAAGGGGACTTGGGATTGCATTTATGTTCATTTGGAGCCCTTTTACACTCCCTGAATGATGTGTCAGGGGGACTGACAGCCTCCTTTGCCCAGCCCCAGGGTAAGGAGGGATGGTGTGAAACCTGCACCCACTGAAACCAATAGGAGAGCTGTCACTGGCTCCCAGGAGCACCAGATCGGGCCAGAAACGTGGTCACAGCAGAAAATTCATCACAGTTTATTCTCTTCCCACATCCAGATGCCATTTACATTGTCAAAACACTGTCAGGGATAACTGAAAGGATTTTTAACAGGAATTTCAGAGCATCCCTTTCCCACTCTCTCCAAAAGTCCCACTGGCTGTCCCCGTTCAGCCTCTCTGGGTGTCTCGTGTGGGAGTCAGCAGTGCTTGGGAAGCCCAAGAAAATCCCTGAGTGCTCAAAGCAAGGGAGAAGGCAGGGACAAAACTTCATCTCCAAGGCTCTGCTACAGAGCTGCTTCTCTGGCCAAGGTTTCCTCCTTTGGTTGGATGTTTTTGTCTTGAGATGTGACTTTGCTGTCCTGCAGGATCCAGTCCTGTGGTGATTTCCCCAGTCAGGTGTCCTGGGAGCTCATTGCCTCCACTGCAGCCCAGGGGTGCCTCAATATTTAAATATTATCAGAAGAGCACCACAGGCAGCGTTGTGTGATGTTTTCTCTTTTAATCAATGGTGAGGAAAAAAAGGGAACATGTTGTTGCTCATCTGTGTTAATTTAAGAACCCACACGCAGCCTGCAGCGGTCAGAATCAGGCTGGGCATTTCCTCTGCTCTAAATCAAACCCATCTCACTCCAAGGGGAAGGAGTTCACTCAGAAGGAAACAAGACCCGGGGTTTAGGAGGAAGGTTGGGTGCAGGGCTGAACTGGCAGGGTGGCTCCAGGCCAGAGCTCTCCCTGCATCCCTGGAGCAGTTCCCTCATCCAGCTGAGCTTCCCTGGCTGGTGACTCTCACCTGGATGGGGCTGCAGGCAGGACAGCCCAGCTGGAGCAGTGGGGACAGGGGGCCAGGTCCTCTCTCTGCAGAGGTGACACTCACAGCCAGTGCCACTGGGCTTTGGGACATCGAAGCACAGTGAGGCAGGAGGATGGATGCCTCCAGCCCCTGCTGGCTGAGCAGAGGGTGATGCTTTCACTTGAAAGAGTAAATGATGTGTAAATGCAGTTTTCTCTCTCCGAGGCAGAACAAGCAGCTTTGCTGGGGCTGTGGATCCTCGCTGTGCCAGGCTGCCTTTCTCTGGCTGTGCAGTCCCTGCAGTGACAGCCAGGCTGAGGAACAGGCAGGAGGAGCAGTTCTGTCATTAGCAGGATGGGGACAACCGATTTGTGTTGCCCTTTCCCAGCGGAGAGGGCTGTGGAAAAAGGAGACTTCCTCACATCACCCCAGGCTGTCCCTGACCCACCTTTGCTGGGAAACAGGAGAGTTCCTAACCTTGCTTGGCATCACCAGGCAGATCTTGGGGAGTTGTTTTTTGGGAAGGCAAAAAGAAGAACTGATATTTCCAGTTTGCTGCTTAAGCTAAAAAAATGTTTTTATAAAAAAAAGAAAAAAGGAACAATTTTTTGAGTTTGACCAGGCAGGGCACATAGAAATGATTTTTGTGTGTAGTGAAGAAGCCTGGGAGTGCAAACAAACGGTTTCATTTTGTTATTTGCAGCTTGGAGTACTTTGAGAATGACCAGTTTTGTTTTGCTTTAGGAACCAGTTCCAAGGGGATTTTTTTCCCTCTGCTTTGTGCTTTTTTTTTTCTTTTTCTGTGTGAACCACATGCACACACAATAATTAACCAGTGAAGAAGGTCAGAAAGGAAGTGACTGGGGAAGATGTACTTTAAACATAGACATTCATGAGGCTGTGGGCTGTAATTAGCTGGAATGTTTGTCTGAGGTTCCCAGGTTACGTGTTGAATATTAGATAAGTTATTAAAGAGGCAGTTTTTTATTTGTCCTTTTAATTATCAAAGCTTTAATGGCTCTTCAACTCTTCCAAATTAATTTTTTTTTAACATTTGGAGAATATTTATTTCTCATTTCTTGATGGGGTTTGGTGTAACACCAGCATTGCTTTAGGTTAGAAATAATGCTCAGGGTTATAATGTAACATGAACTGCTGGTCATGAACAGTTTGCCATGGACAAACAGCCTTTGGGAATGGAGGAGGAGGAGAAGGCAAATGTGTTCATGGAGTGATGGAATGGTTTGGGTTGGAAGGGACCTTAAAATTCATCCTGTGGTCAGGGACACCTTCCACTGGGACAGGCATTATTTATTTTAGGGAAACTGGGAACCTCTGGGAGGAAGCAGCCCTAAAAGAAGTCAGCTAAGGTGTTTTCTCAATGTAGAAAATACTAATTTGGTTCTCCAAAGGTTCTACTCCTTCTCTGGAGTGAGTGGTCAGGATGAAGCACATCTGCTGAAGGATGGGATTCTCAACTGGAAGAGCTCTAGAAAAGCCATTGGCTGACCAAGGGAGCCCAGAGTGGACACCTGGCAGGTAGAAAGAGTGAGAGAGGGCTGCTGAACCTGGTCATGCTGCCACAAACCCCCAGGGGTATAGATCACCCATAAATACATCTGGAGATCAGCTTACAGGAGAATGGATCATGATTCATAGGGGAGATGGTTTCTAAGTGTCAGAGGCATTGTGCTTTCTGCTGGGGAGGTGATGTCCAAAACCTCTGTGGATGCAGTGATGTAGAAAGGAGTCAGCCTGAGCTGTGGATTGGGCTGCAGGCTTGGAATGAATAGCAGTAACTCCTGCACTCAGGAATTCTGAGGTTTAGACAGTATCCATTTAATTCACATGGGAAGAGTTGTGGTGGGTGTTTGTGAAAGCTGGAGAGGCAGGGGTGCCTCAGACTTGAGAGTAATGCTGGTTTCTTGGTGAAACCCATTGGAGATTCAGTTCTGGCGTCCTGTGGTTGTGCTTTGGGGGAAATCTTCAAAATCCAGCGAGGTTTTTAATGGGGCAGCAGCGTGGCTGATCAATGCCACTCTTTTGTGGCACCACCTTCCTTCCCCTGTTGGACCAGGAGATGCCTCAGGTTCCTGGGGATCTGTGGATTCAGGAGGAGCCAGGCATGGCTGTGGTTCCACAGCTGAGGACAGGTTCCTTTCTCTGGCTGTACTTTCCATCTGGAAGCAATGCCTCTTGAGAATGGGGAAGGGTTTTTAGTTTTTGCTGTGTTGTGCTGGGCTCTGATCTTTCCTGCCAGGGCTCTCTCTGTGCCTTCTCAGGAGGGACACAGAACACACTGAGCCTGGTTTAAAGCAGAGCCTGTCTGCATCCTGAGGACAAGCTTTTCCATCCTCAGCCACAGCTCCATGGGGTCTTTTCCATGCCAAGCAGCCATTTTAATCCATTCCAAATTTCCCTACAAAAGCCAGCAGCACGTGTGGTTTGCTCTCAGGTGTGTCCGTGTGTGCACACGTGGTGGGAGCTGGGAGATGGCTTTTCCTGGATGTTCCCTGTCCCCAGCAGGACAGAAGTGAAAACATCAGCTCCTGTGGATTAAGGGAAACACGAAGGAAATGACTTCTTGCATCCCGAATACATAACACTATTTTTTTTCCCTCCTGCAGTCTGCTTTTTAAAAAAGACAAAATAATGCTTCCTCAAGCTAATCTTACATCCATCCTCTGGCCTGAGGAAACATCTGCCCTCCATGGTAGCCTCAATTGTCCCAGCCAGTTCCCTCTTAGAGTTCCCTTCTCTTCCACTGACAGCTGTTGCCTCCAGCTGCCTTCATTCCTGCCCACAGCAATCCCAGAGCCTGGAGCCCATCCTGGTGTCCAGGTTTAGCTCAGGACAGGTTTAACCATCTCCTCGGCAGGATTTTAGCAGCTTGTGTGCTGTGCTGATAAACAGCACAGTCCCCCTGGTGAGATCAGGGCTCTCTTAGCCATGAGGATGCTCAAAGGTCACTGATACAGCAGAAAAAAAAAATCAGCCCTGTGTTTGCAGCCTCTTCATCTGCCTTGTGGGCTGGTCAGTGTCTCCTTGGAGCTGGGAATTTGCTCTGGGAGCCAGAGCTGCCAGCAGTGCTGTGATGTGGTGAATGACACTTGGGATGGGTTTGTCACTAATAAATTGGGTGTTGACTCCTGCAGAGGAGCATTTGTGTTGGTGAGGTCCTGTGGGCCAGGGGTACTCAGCAGCTTTTCAACTGCACAGCTTTTATTGTGGAAGGAATCTGGGTTTTGGTTTTGAAACAAAACCCATTTCCACCCTGCTCAGAGGCTTGGCTATCCCTGCTGAGAGGAGCTGCAGCTTCCAGCTGGAATACAGGATGGAGAGCTGGGGATGGCTGTGGTGGGGCTGGACCTGTGGCTCTCTGTCCATACAGCCCCTGGCCATCAGCATTCCCCTCTCTGTTGGTTCTTCCTTCCCCCTCCAGGTGGCTTTACCCACCTGTTGTGTTTTCAGCCTTACCAGAGCCACTGGGGCTCTTTAGCCAAAATGGAAAACCGTGGAGGGTCACAGCTTTCACCCTCCAGGCGTGGAAGGGCTGCTCTGTGCTTTCCATTCCTGGTGAGAAAATTACCCAGTGGAGGAGTTTCTCTCTGGCTGAGACCCAAAGCTCTGTGCCAGCATTTCCTCTGCTTGTCACCTTTACCTTTCCTACATGGGAAGGGAAACACCTTTTTGTTCGGACCCAGTCATTTGTTTCCTGGTCCTTTGTCTGAGTGTGATTGCAAACCCCAAAAATAGGCAGAGGGATGAAAATGCAGATTACAGGAGCAGCTGTGTGACCAGGAACTGCTGAAGGGTGAGCAGAACTCTGGAGAAGAGCTTTCCTTGGAAGAGCCTGCTGGGAACAAGATAATTTGTGCTTGGGGTCACGTGCAATTTATTGCCACAGATGTGCACAGAAGAGCAGTTCACAGAAGGGAGGGAAAAAAAAATTAATTGCTGTTAAAAATGTGTATCTGCAGCCTTGTGAGAGCTTTGTGATTGCTGGGGATTTATGATGCAGGGTCTGTTCCCAGCAGGCAGGGACACCCTTGTTGCAGTGAGCAGTGTCTGGGTTCATTCCAGCAGCACAGGGAGGTGTGTCTGATCCATCCCCTGGCCCTCTCAGAGTTAACCCTGTCCCCGTGTCGTTGCAGGACCGTGGCAGCCGAGGTCAGGAAGCAAATCTCAGGCCAGTATGGAGGCTCCCCACAGCTCCTCAAGAACCTCAACATCGGAGGCAGCGTCTCTCATCACACCAGTGTAAGTCATGCCTGGAGCAGGGCTGGCTCGGGATGCTGCCCGTGCTCGTTTCACCATCTGGGAGCAAACTGCAGTGCTGACAGGTTGTTGGTGTGAGCAGCTCTGATGACACCAAGGACAAAATTCCAAGCCAAACCCACTAATTTTGGGGATTTCTATGTTGCAAATCAGTTGGTGTGGCTGGGAATCTGTGTTTCTGCAGAATCTTCGTAGGATAAAGAGCTTTCTTTACAAGATATTAGTTGTTCTATCCCCAGACAGCCTGGGTTGGGCATTAAATTCCATGTGTATGTGGTTCTCTGCATGGAGAGCTCTTTGCAAGATCCTGTCCTTGTCACTCTGGAGAGGAGGACCACAGCAACTCCTCTACTCTTCTGAAGTGTTTTAAATATTATTGTGCAAGCTGAGTGTGGCTGTTCCTCAGGAATTTATATTTACTTACAAGTTTACAGCCCGCTTTGAAGAGCTGCATTGTCACAATCAGCTTTTCTGAAGTCAGGCTTTCTTGCATGGCCTACCAGTAACCTTCCAGATTTATTGTGGTAAACATTTCAAGAGTGCAGCAAACTTTTTCAGGCTGGAAATGTTTGCTTTGGGGTCTCACTTCAGGTCACAGCAATTCCTTTTGCTGCAGTCAACTTGGAAAACAAATATTAGAGCATCTTGTTTTCTTCAGAGAGAAGTGGTTAGGTCAGGCAGGGCTGGAAATGTGCCCTGAATTTGATAGTCTGTGCAAGTGTTGTGAGTTTACAAGAGTTCTTCTGTTTGGAGTGGGGTCCTGTAGTGTTCCCTCAATTCCTGGGGTTGTGGGAATGAGTTCTTGGGAATTCCCTGTGCCTCATGTCCGATGTAACCTGTTAAAGCTTCCTCCTGTGGAGCACAAACGTGTCCTCAGAGCTGAGTGCCACCTCAGAAGAGATCTCCAGGCTGAGCTCCAGCTCAGAGCAGTGACTTCCCTGAGGCACAAACTTCATCTCTGAGGAGATCTGGCTGTGCCAGAGACACTGGGGATGGAGGAGGGCTGGAATTCCTTGGAATTCCTGTCATTTCCCAGGAGCACAGGGAGAGCAGAAGGCTGATCTGTTAGCCCAGCATGGACTGACAGGGAGGAGGGTTAATGAGAGAAGGGTTAATGAGAGAAGGGTTAATGAGAGCTGCTGCCCGGGCTAATGCCTCACCTCAGTGGCTCTGCTGGGCTGTGCAGTGATAATGCAAAGCCCTGACTTGGCAGTTCTGGATGGTCTTTTGCATAATCCAGCATTAGAATAGGGAGGGTCCCCTGCTATTAGCTGGTGTGTGGAGCACTCAGGGTCACTGACTGCACTTCCCTGCAGCACTGACAGCTGAGGAATGCACTCCCATTGTGTATCCACAGGAATTGCTGTGCTTCCCTTGTCTCACCTGTGGGTTCATCTTGGAAGGAGTTGGCTGAATTGCCTTTCTGCTCTCATAAAGTGAGATGTCTTCTGTGAACCTTCCAGGCTGCTCCTCACCCAGCCATGTTTTTGATCAGTTTTTCCTTGTGTCACCTCTTTTCACTCTGAATTGTCTCTTCCACTTTTTCCTCCTATTCCTAAGGTTTTTCCATTCTGCCACCAACCAAGTGTTCATGCTCAAAGTTTTAGTCTTGTTGATCTTCACGTGTAATTTTTATACAGGATCAGACTTGTTGGTCATGGTATTATCAGTAGCTCTCATTACCCTGTTGCCCTGGTGTTTGCCAGTAAATATATGCAAGAATCTATAAAAATGCTGGAAAAGGTCATGCAGGCTGGAAGCAGGCTCTGAGCTTTCCCTATCAAACTGCATTGTGATGGCTGCTGTGATAAGCTCCCAGTTTGTCACATTAAATTGAGTGCTGAGCAGAGATGCTCTGCAGAAGCCTGATTAACACAGGGTGATGGTTTGTAGGAGATAGTCTGTAGGAAAAGTCTATTTAGTTAAGTCATGAGTCTGTATCCTGAGGCTGTATAATACGACAGAGGTTCGCTTGTCTGAATTTTGGGTTAATTTCTCTCCCCGAGGCATCCGTCAGGATCTGCTGTGCCTGCCTGGCCTGGTTTGATAATCAGCATTATGCAGAGGGAAAGCATTGCTGTGTGAAGCTGTGTTTGCTCTGGAAAAGTTCAGTTCTGTGCAGTCACACAGGTTTAAAAGCCTAAAGTAGGGCATGTAGAATGGGAGTGAAGAGGAAATTCCTGCTAAAATGGGATTGAGTTTCAGCATCCCAACAGTGGCGGCTGGTTGGGATTGGGGGGCTCCAGCCTGGCAGAATTGAAAAATTATTTGTGCTCTCAGGCACAGGGTGGGATTGTTGGGGTTGTGTTGTGCAGGGCCAGGAGCTGGACTGGAGGATCCCTTTCCAGCTCAGGATATTCCATGATTCCGTCACTCCACTTTGTGCAGATGTGGTTTCTCATGCCCATCCTGCTCACCCTAGTGAGAATTATCCCTGTAGGTCATTTCCAGCTCAGAATGTTCCATGATTCTGTCACTCCACTTTGTACAGATGTGGTTTCTCATGCCCATCCTGCTCACTCTGGTGAGAACTCTGGTCCAGAAAAGGTCAGCATTGATTCTCTGATGGTCGCCAGCAACATCTGCTTGTGATAGTTGGTCTGAGAGTCTTATCAGTCCAACAGAGATATTTTTATGGAGAAATGGAGTTTTTGTGAATGAAGAGCCTTCAGCACTGTGCTTGTTTGGCCCTTTTGTTTCTTGTCAGCTGAAGCCATGCAGGGATGTTCCCCACTCCACAGACTTGCCCGTGGTTGAACCTGGGATAAATGCAAAAACCTGTCAGCTGAATTTTAGCAAGACTCTTCCCTTTTGCCTCACAAGCAGCAGACAAAATGCTGCCAGAACAGTTTCTAATTTGGTATCTGGTAGAGCTGGGGAGAAGACACTGCTTTCAAATGAGTTTATTATTGTCAGCCTCCACCCTTCTGCCACTTTAGGAGCAGCTGATTTTAATTGCACATTCCTCAAAGCCCAGACACAGGTCCAAGGCCCTCAGAGGCTTTTCCTGTGTAACCCAATGTGCCAGGCTGGGACTCCTGGCAGTGTGCAGTCCCTGCAGCTCTGAGCTTTTTTATTTTTGCAACCCACAACAGAAGGCACTGACAGTTTGTTATTGGGAAATAGGAGCTGTGAGCTCTGAGAGTTCCAAGAAGGAGGGTTTATTTTTTTTTTCAAGTTATTTTTGCAGTTCTCTCCAAGCCCACTGGTGAATGGAGTGTGCATTTATTTGCACCTTGCTGGGTGTGCTCTGGGTTGGAATCCATGGCTGTGCTCACCTTGGGTGCCTCCAGAGGTTCAGCATTCCCTGCTGGGAGCTGCTGCTTCTCACCACCAACCCCAAGGGTGAAAGCAGAGCCTGCACTTCCTCTGGGAGAATTCCCCAGCCTCTTGCAGGATGGGGAATTTGCTCTGTTTGATGAGCCAGCCTGTTTACTATGGGCCATTATAATCCCTCCTGACTAACCACTTTCTTTTCCTCCAAAGTTTCTTTTTTCTGTGGAGCAGTTCCTTGTGCTCAGTTAACTCTGTCTGCTGAAAGTAGATAAAGACTTATAAAATCTTGGACTTTTTTTTTTTTTTTCACTTTCGAGTCCCAAGGATAAAAATGGAAGTGTTTTTTTGATTGTTGTCCAAAACTTGATATTTTTTTTTCCCAATTAAAAGTTCTCTTAATTTTTACAAATCTTTTCAGGTCTCTTTATTTCTTTACATCTTTAGAGATATATTTTAGTGGTTGGACATAGCACTTAGTGCAGTGGTCTGGTTGACAAGATGATGTCAAAGTTTGGGCATGAATGATCTTGGAGGACTTTGCCAACTTTAATGATTCTGTGATTTAATTAGAAGAGCAGCTTTTTGCTAAACTTGTAAATAAGCAGATTGAAGGCACATTCAGTTGTTTTATAGAAAAATCACAGCTTTTTCCAAGAGACTGGGGGTAATATTTCCTGCCAGTTGATGTATGTTACAGCAGAGATGATTGTTAGTGTGTAAAGGAACACTGTTACAAGAAATACTAATTAGTCTGTGAATAAAGGGGTCTGGATTCTTGGATGTGATGTGGTCTGACCACGTCTGCTCTCAGCACTTCATTTTCTCCTGTAAAATGAAGGTGCTGACATTTACATATCTTTGTAAAGCACTGCTGGCTTTATGGGCATTATCTGGGCTAATTGAGGCTTTGTCTTGGATTTATTGGATGTCAGACTTTGGCCATGTACTCAAAGATAGCATCTAATTATTCAATAAAAGAATATAGATTCCTTTGTCTATTTCCATTGTTTATTTTAATGTAATTTAAGAGAAGAAGAAAAGGTGATTTGTGCAAATGAATGGGAAGCACAGCAAAGGAAAACATGAGTGTCCTGTGTGGCACTGAAAAGGGAGTTCTGGAGTGTTCAGAGCCAGGTCATTTTATCACCAAAAAAATTGACAAGGAGAGCGAGCCAAGTCTTTATGCTGTCTCAGGGCTGATGAAGGCTGGATGGTGCCTCCCATTATTTGTATTTCCTGGAGGTTTTGGGAGGATGGGAGAGGCATCCACATCCTCTGCCCTGCCTGCTCCCCTTGGGGACTGCTCCCAGTTAACTCTGCTGTGGTGCAGGCACTTTCTGTAGGACATTAAACTGCTCCCATCCTATTGCTAAAGGCAGCAGTGAGCCCTGTGGAAAAGATCAGGAGTGTTTTACCTGTTCAGGTCAGTCTGGTGTCCACTGGAAGCTGCTGAGTCTCTGCATTAATTTAAACAGTTCAGGTGTTAGCAGAGATAAATACTCTTCACTAAATGATATTATACCAAGTAATTGTTAGTAAATTAATAAATACTCTTCACTAAATGATATTATACCAAGTAATTGTTAATAAACAGGCTGGGAGAGCTGGGGGTGCTCACCTGGAGAGGAGAAGGATCCAGGGAGAGCTCAGAGCCCCTGGCAGGGCCTGAAGGGGCTCCAGGAGAGCTGGGGAGGGACTGGGGACAA